ACCCCAGTTGTTTCTCCTTTTCAAGATAAACCTGCTCCGGGAGGCACATTCACTTCTCAGTTTGGGCCAAATTCAAACCTTGCAGAGAATGCAGCCATGTGGCCTTTTTATTTAAATCCAGACTCTAAGTTAGTTCAATCCCACCAATCCCAAGAAAAGGCGTCCCCCTCTTCCTCTCACAGCCCTCCTGGTTTGGAAGCCCTTTCTGACGCAAAGCCTCAGGACTTGCAGGCCAGACGTAGAGACAGTGCCTCCCTGGGAGCCGCTGAACACAGAGCATTAGGGAGGTTTGAAACATTGGCTCACTTAGAGCTCCACGGGGCTCCACGCTCCGGTTGGGAAATAAGATGCTCTTCTGCCCTCACAAATATGCATCCTGTCCCTTATTGTATTTAGTAACTTCCCTTAGTAGTCAGGGGTCAGGGCGCTGTAGAGAACCTCCAGAGTATGTCTCTCTCTCTCTCTCTCTCTCAACATATTTAAGATTGATGATAGACGACTGACAGATAGATAGATAAGAGATAGATAGATGGTAGAGAGATGATAGATAGATAGATAGATAGATAGATAGATAGATAGATAGATACACAACAGGTGGATATGTACATAGATCACAGATACATGGATAGATTTAAATATATAGATATAGAGACATACAAATAGAAATAGAAATATAGATATAGATGTGGGGGCTGGAAAGTGTGAAATCCCTTGACTCTTGCATGATTTTGAAATTATAGGAAAGAGCAAGGAGAAGAATGATCTGAGGAACTCAGTACTACTTCCCAGCTTCATAGAAAATGGAACAGCCAGGCTGTCCTTGTGTGGGTTTAAAATTCCCTGTACACAATAGATTCCCTGGGCCTGCAGCACTTCCCTTACAAGACCTCTGTTTGAATGGGCTCTCCCTCGCATAGACTGTGAGGTCTTGATGTTACAGGGGTTGGATCGCTATGGAATATCCCAGATGCCTGTGCCATAATCAGCAGTGAGACTGTGCCCCGTTGTTGTGGCACACAGAACGCTCTGCAGTTCAATAAATAAAACCATAGGAATTTAATTGGATCTGAGTTTAAATCCTGGTTCTGTTTCTTACTACTTGGGTGACCTTCAGCAAATTCTTTAGCCTTTCTAGAGCCTCAGTTTTCTTTGCTCTATGATGACAGTGGAATTTCTTTAGGCTTGTTGGGAAGAGTTGATATCATATAAATAATACCTGATGAAGAGATAACAGGTAAGGAGTATTCAGTGAAGCACTATTCTCCCTACTGTCACCACTCATAACAAAGTATTTTTAATCTAAAAATACTCAAATCTAAAACTGTTCATTCCTGCTTTTATTCTCTAGAAAACAGTTAAACTTCAGGCAAATGTGTTGGGCTCTCTGTCCTTGAGATTCGGTTTTGCCCACTACAGTCTGCCGTAAGCACGTCTTGTCACTGCTGGGCAGGACAGTGAAAGAAGGAGCAACTCTCCTTGTTGAAGTGCCCAAATCCTCCACACAGACCGTGACTGCAAGCCCCTCACAGGGGCATTGCGAGCAGAGCCTCTGGCACTTGCTTCTACTGAGGAAGCTCAGAGGCAAGTTTGATGTTTAATTACAGCAAAGATATATTTCTCAGCTAAGCTGACGCGCGGCACTGCCTGTTCGTTTCCTGGGTTCTGATACTCATCATATTCATTTCCTTGTTTAGCATCAACCTTCATGTAAATGATTTTATTGTGAAAATGGAAAAAGGTAAGATATAAATAAACTTAACAAATCAAAATATTCCTGATTATATACACACCAATAGCCAGCCAATCCCCGGGTTACATCCCCTCTGGGTGTCATGGCATCTAATATATGAATATATGTATACGTATGTTTGTATATATACACACAAGCATGTGCCAGCATGATTACGACTAAGCTTTCTGTTCTGTTTTTCCTACGCCGCTGCTTAATGGAATCAGGCAAAATGCTGATTTGGATAGACACTGTCATAACCCTTTTGCAAAAAAAGAAAATGCACTCAGTAAACAGTTACAACGATATCAACAGTGCTCATAGAAATGATTTCACATCAGAATAAATATACTTAGAGAAAGGCACACACATGGTCTGAACAATAAGTTAGGGTTTGATCAGCAGTGGGAGGAAACACTGAAGAAAATGGGGAGATGCAGCACACATCACCCCTTCCTGGGGCTCCACCTTTCTCCACTCGGGTGAGATTTCCTGCCTGAGACCAGTGCTTTCATTGCACTGGGGGAGGAGAAGAGAGAAAAGGCGTTAGCTTCAGTTCCATAAAAATCCATGGAAAGAATCAAGAAAAAAACCGAGGCATGAAATCTGTGCACTCTAGCTTTGATTATATGGCGGTGGCATAGCTGGAAATAATTGATTTACATTAAAAGAAGAAAAATCCTACTCAATTGCTAAAGGAAAAAAGTTAATAGTATTTATTTTTTAAAATGCACTCTTTTTAAAATCTTGTTTTCTCTTTTCTCCAATCTGAGTAAACACAGATTTTTTCCCTAGACTTAGACCTTTCTTCACTGAGGTGCTGCCTAGTTAGCCCCGCTTGTCGCTGTCCAGTGCTGAAAACGGCTGTCTTCCTGAGCCGGCATGTAAGCAAGCGTGATGTGATTAGCCTTGAAAAATCAGCAAATGAGTCTCGGCTCTTGGAACCAATGTTTTCTTCTGCTTCAAAGAATCTGTTCCCTTTATAACCTATAAATAATCAAGGCAAAAATTATAAAAGTTTAGGCATCAGCATCACTTAAAATCTTCACAATCAAGGCTGTCAATGAATCACTACGCCTGCATTAAAGACGAGAGTACCCGAGCTGGTTTTGTACTTAAATAATGCTTCTTATTAGGTCAAGCACATAAAAACGCAGAGCATCTGTCTTTCTTTTACTTCCTGTAAAGTAAGACACACAAATGGCATCATTTACCATCCGTCAGAGTGCTGGAAACCATATCTATGAAATATTTGCTCTGTCACGCTTTAAAGGCCTTATAGCTTCAAGAATCTCCTATTCAAATATAAATACTTCTATAAAAAGAAAAAAATTAAGCTTTAGCCAGCATATACACATTTTCACATGCACACCCAACCTGAGGAGGGACGGCGGCACCCAGCTGAGCTTTGAAGTATTCTTGAGTTAAGTGCTCAGATGAAGGACCTAAGCAGGGTGCCAGAATAATTAAGGTGAAGGAAGAGTCTAGAAAAACATGATTGATGAGTTCTATAGACAATATTATCCAATTCATTTTTCTTATTTAGAACTTGAAAGTCTATTCATCTTTCACTCATTCATCCAGCCCAAATGCAAATCTATGCCTAACCTTGAGATCTGCCCAGGAAAGAATTTTTTGCTCCATTTAGCAATGCTATGGGTATAACAGTCTCCCAGAAAGCAGGAGGACGTAGTGGTGATGGAGAAGAAGGCACAGAAAAGTCTCCTCTGTATCAGCCTCTGCCACAACAAGCCTCTGCATGTTTCTTAGCTAATTGTCCTGTCAACTCTGTTGGGCTCTCTAAAATGGACTCTCTCCCATTTTAACACCCTATCTGGGAAATTTAGTTGCAAGTCCAACTTGCAAATTATATAATTGGCTCTAGAATTTCAACATACATTCAGCTGTAAATAAGGAGGTATTATTTTCTCAAAATGCATAACCTGGAGACAGGCAGCTGACGGTGTTATTTTAGAGCTAGCTGGTGTGAGTGAGGGCGTGATGGTCTTTCTTTGTTCTGTTGGCCTTTATTTTATGCTCATGACTTTGCTATGAGCAACATGGTACCTCCAACTCAAAATTATATCTGGAATCAAAGCAGAAGAATAAAAAAAATTTCATTAGTTTCAACTGTTTCTTCTATTTGGAAAAAAAATAAAAGTTCTAGACCCCCCCAGTAATCACATATAATTAATTAGTCTGAAAAATGACATATCACTACCCCTACTGTCAGAAAGACTTAGGAAAATAAGTATTGAGTTTTCTAGGCCCTATAGTGAAGTAAAAAAAGTGTCTGTGATCGCCTAATTAGTGAACTAAGTATATTGACTGCCGTGGTGATAGAACAGGAGTAAAACCGGGGTCATTAAATACAAATTTGATTCTCCCCTACCTCCTTCTCCACCACACACACATACATACTTTCCACTGTAAGATTACTGGCTTGTTTTCTGAATTCATATCTGCTTTTCTATAAAATATATACGTTTTCAAAGAAAGGCCATTTTCCACTCCAAGTTGCTGCTATTTTGAAAACAATCTAAGTTACCTGTTCAGGCAGAGCAACGTGTAATAGAAACTCACCATGTCAAGATTTAGGATCCCTTGTTTTTTACCCTGACTTGGTAAGAAATGAAGATTTTTGCCTTCTCTATACTTCAGATTTAACTGTAAATATAAAGAAGCATTACCTTCTACTTCCTCACACAAGATGCATTTTGTGTGACATATTTACAAATGGATTTAAAACTCTGTGTATAAGCTCTATAGATTGGAGTGATACCAATACTATCACTGCCCACTCCTACATACAATATCTGCACATAGCTTCATGGCTTAAAATCACTTTAACATGCATAATCACATTACCGCTTCTCTTCATCCATTTATATGGTTAGTCTGGGTAGGAAAACATCTTACATTTTCCCATCAGGCAACACCACCTTTCACAAAGCACACATTTTTCACAATTTCAATTGAAATCCAAATAGCTTTATACGTCTTGCTTTGTACAGCCTATCACTCATGCAACAGCCTCATTAAGAGTCTCTTAAAGTAATGACTGGCATGATGCTCCCTTCTCTCTTCCATCATCTGCCTCCCATCAGTGGACCCAAAGAGAGGAACAGGTCTGTCACCTGAGCGGCAAAGCTCCAGGGACCTGAAGATGTTGGTGAGCATTTCTGGGAGAAGTGGGCCTGGCTGAGGGATGATTTCATGGGAATGTCAATGAACAGTTCAAAATAACTGGTTCTGAACGAGACTTACTGTTTTCCCTGGCTGTGGATGAAGAGTTTCGATACAGCAGTCAGGGCCTCCGGACAAAGTCTGCTGGTTAAAAAGCCCAGCCTGACCTCAGCCCTCAGACCAAGGCCCAGAAAACTTCCTGGGGTGCGGAGATCCACAATAAAGCTTAGAGAATAGGTTTTGAACATCTCCGAAAAACTGAGTTTCTTCAGGTTTAGGAGTGGGTCAGAAAGGATGATGGTGCTGAGGACAGAGAAGGGAAGCAAAGTGTTCATTTGCTCACATAACCATGCCCAGGCTGCTCCCTTCTGCGGTTAGAGTGCAGTGTTGGTAAAAACTGGAGACTCTGCATGCTCTGACCTCCCCCTCCTGCTGAACTGAGGGGCCTTCTGGGTATTCTGCCGTTTAGAAATGCTACTTACAAGCTTTGATTGAAATGCATGGATGAGGCTGGGCACAGTAGCTCATACTTGTGATTCTAGAACTCTGGGAAGCCGAGGCAGGAGAGTTGCTCGAGGCCAGGTGTTTAACACTAGTGTGGAAAACAGAGCAAAACCTCATCTCTACAGAAATGGTTAAAACTTAGCTGGGCATGGTGGCACACGCCTATGGCCCAGCAACTCAGGAGCCTGAGACGGGAGGATTGCTGGAGCCCAGGAGTTCAAGGCTCCAGACAGCTGTGGTTGTGCCAGTGCATTCCAGCCCAGATAACAGAGAGAGATTTCAATAAAATAACCTAAAATACAGTGCGCAAATGGATAAACAAATCTGGTTTACTCATATAATGGAATATTATTCAGTCACAAAAAGTAATGAAGTATTTGATACATGCTACAACTTTTCACTTAGCATAATTTTCATCATGTCTTCATTATTTGAGCCTAATGTGCACAAAATTAGACCAAAAAAATCAAGTACTGTAGTATTTCATTATCTAAAATATCTGGAACAGTTAAATCCATACAGAGAACTATTTAGTGGTTTGCTAGTGTCTGGGAAGAAAGAAAAAATGGAAAGTGACTATTTGAGGGTAAAGGACTTTTCAAAAGATCTAGACAGAGGTATGATTGCACAGCCTTGCAAATGTGCTAAACATCTTTGAATTTAACACTGTAAAATTGTTCTTTATGTTATATGAATTTTACCTCAGAAAACAAACGACCAACGTGAGTGTAATTTACCTCAACGAGAAAACATTGTAGGGCTCTAATCCAATATATAGCCAACCTGACATCATGGGCAGCTTCTCCTGTGGATTCACGGTGTTTTCCGCTGTCTTCTCTGGATCTGGCCGACGATTTGCTCTAGGAGACTTTCCACCTCAAGGCTATGAGACAGGCAGTGGGAGAAAAGCGTAATTTAATAGGTTGGTGCAAAAGTAATTGTGTCTTTGTCACTACTTTCAATGGCAAAAACCTTGCTTACCGCTGCACCAGCCCAGTACCATTTTCCCTCCAGCTCCCTCTGCCAGTCTTTAGGCCTGTGTTTGATCTCAGTGCGGCGTACGGCCTAGAACTGAAGCCCTACATGATGTGCTGCCGTGACATTTGGTGAAACCATGACAGCTTTGAGGATTCTAATGCAGTGCCTGCCCCACTCTGACTCTGTCAGTAGCGCCTCCTCGTCAAACACGCCTCTTTATTCAGGGACTTGGCACCGTTTCTGTTTATACCTGAGAGGAGGCCTAGGCCCCTGCCAGCCTCACAGTCACCCAGACAAGCCAGGTGGTACTTCCCGGAAACCAGGGGCACCGCACCCTCTGGAGACTGAGAAGCCCGTCGCCCACAGTCTCGGGCTGCTGTGTTTCTGAGTTACAAACGTTTGGCCCATTGCTTAAGAGCTGCCTCCTTTGGTGTAAAGAACACTGGGCTCTGCTGTATGTGGGTATCTCACCGATGCCCACGCTGTGGGTGGCAGAACAAGGCCTCACCAGGAGGTGGGGTCTGCTGGTGTCTCAGTTTTAATTTTCATTTCTCATGTGACTAATGATGTTAAGCATGTTTTATTATGCTTATTTGCTGTCCATATACACCCTATGATGAAGTGTCTATTCAGTCGTTTGGCTCATTTAAAAAATTGGGTTGCCTGTATTTTTGTTGTTGAATTTTAATAGTTATTTACGTATTTTAAATACAAGTCCTTTGTCAAATATATTCTTGGAAAATATTTTATTTTTCTTCAGGTATGTCTTCTTTCTGTTTTCTTAACAGTGTTTTGTAAGGACCGAAAATGTTGTTTTAATAAAGTCTGATTTTTAATTTATTTATTTTATGGACGATGTTTTGGTATTATCATTTTTAACAGCAAAAGTAACATTATTGCTTTGATTTTAACACCAAGAACAATGCTTGACAAGTAACTATTTATAGAATGTAGAAATGCTCAAGTGAATAAAGAAATAAATGAGTAAAAACTCCTGGTGAGAGATTTTCAGACGCAGTAAAAACTTGCTGAGCTGAGCAGCTCTGCCACTTTTACCCCCGACAGATCCGATTCTGTCAGACTGCTTTGAAAGGCAGCTTCTCAACGTCCACAGGGCAGAGCAGCGCCCACCTGGGTGGAGATGGACGCAGTGATAGGTGCTGGCTGCCCTGCCGTGGAGGCTTAGGAAGCGAAGACCTCAGAACGGAAAGAAGGCTCACGTCGCCCAAAGAGCCTCCCAAAGACCTGAGAACCACCAAGAGCTGCTCCCTGGAATAAACTACTTGTTCATGGTATTAAAAGGTTTATCTGGAACTTGAAGCAATTTGAGTCAGCAATAACAGTGAGTACGGGATCCACCAAGACAAAGTAAAGCCGTCAAAATAATGCTGAGGCTCCTATGGATACTGGAAAACCAGTGCCAGGTAATAGATCATAGATATTTATGACCTTGGAGGATATGAAGAAAGATAAATTAGCAAGTCAACCCAAAGCTGCCCTTCATCATTTATCCACGTGGAAAAACATTTCTCAAATAGTCATTATGTGATTATGAAACACAACGGTAACTTTTATTGGGTGCCGTTAAAATGTATAAATAAGTGTTCTCATTTGGTAGTGTTCTTTTAGAAAATAAAGTAATTCATTCATGTCACATTTAAAGAAAGTCATAAATGGAAACTCAATAAATTAGTTAAAAAATGCAAATTTTCCTACAGTTCTTCAGTTCTGTTCTCTCCAAAAATAGCAACTGTGCTTCTTCCCCCTGGAGAAATCTGAATTAGTCAGCAGCACTGAGCATCATCATTGCTATTATTATTAATTATTGTTCATTATTACATAGCCCCTGTGTGCTGCCTTGGGTGTTTGGAAGGTCTAGTGAAGGCCACATAGGGTTGATCATTGTTCCTAAGAAAAGCAGATACAGCAAGGACACCTGGAGATGCACACCCACACATCCACCCACCCATAAACACACACAGCATCACACACCAGCAGACACAGTGGGATTTGGCCAGAAAGAACAATCTCAGTGGGCTTGGGACTTCATCATTTGTTTGTTCTTTTCTATTCTTCTATCTTTCTTAGCTCTCTTTTTTTCTCCTTCCTTCCTTCCTTCCCTCCCTCCTTCCTTCCTTCCTTCCTTCCTTCCTTCCTTCCTTCCTTCCTTCCCTCCCTCCCTCCTTCCTTCCTTCCTTCCTTCCTTCCCTCCCTCCCTCCCTCCCTCCCTCCTTCCTTCCTTCTTGTATGAAGAGGGGTGTTGGAAGTGGTAGTAAGACATTGGGAAGAGATAGAAGAAAAAAGGAGATGGAGGAGGCTGTGGGGGCACTGGCTGGGTGGAGCGTGGAGGATGGAGAAGAGAGGCTGGGGGCACTGGCTGGGTGGAGTGTGGAGGATGGAGAAGAAAGGCTGGGGGTGTAAAAAATTTTGTAAAATTTTTTGTAATTTTTTTGTAAAAATACAAAAAAATTAGCCAGGTGTGGTGGCGGCACCTGTAGTCCCAGCTTCTCGGGAGGCTGAGGCAGGAGAATGACATGAACCCGGGAGGCGGAGATTGCAGTGAGCCGAGACTGCACCACTGTACTCCAGCCTGGGCGACAGAGTGAGACTCCGTCTCAAAAAAAAAAAAAGAAAAGAAAGAAAGAGAGAATTAAGTAACATGAGAGAATGCAAGGTATTGACTTAATATTCTGATTTAAATAAATCCACTATAAGAAAATGAGACAAAAGAGAAAATTTGAATATGGACTAAGTATAAGGTAATTTAAATAAATTAGTAGTAATGTGTTAGGTGGTAAAATAGCACAGATAATTTGTTAGATGCTATTTTTGTTAGATGTAAATTTGTTAGGTGTTATGACAAACTAGAAGTTATAACATTATAATTACTTCCTATTTCCCATTTATTTTGAGAGTATTCATTACTGCTTGTTGAAACATTTAATTAGCTGCTTTAAGTCTTTATCAGATAATTCCAAAGCTGTGTCTCCTCAGTGTTGCCACGTTTATTGTTTTTCTGATACAGGTTCAGACTTTCCTGTCTCTTTCTAGAACAGATAAGATGCATCGTATCCTGGGCATTTGAATATTATGCCATGAGTCATATCCTGGGCATTTGAATATTATGCCATGAGTCATATCCTGGGCATTTGAATATTATGCCATGAGTCATATCCTGGGCATTTGAATATTATGCCGTGCCACGCTGGGTCTCATTTAAACCCTGCGGAGAGTCCTGGTGCTCTTGTTTCCGCAGCCAAGCAGCAAGGCTGGGTTCAGGCCGCACGTGCTGACACCTTCCGTGGTTGTGGTTTCAATGTCATTCCCAAGGCCAAAGCCTTTGCAGTGCCCCTGGGTCTGTTCTGTGTCTGCGCCCAGTGAGCAGTCCTGAGCCTGCGAGCCTGTATGTGCTCTATTTTTAGTTCGAACGAGCTTTTCTTTTCTGTCCTCTTTCTTTTTTTTTTGGAGGCCTCACTCGTGTCCAGGCTGGAGTGCGGTGGCCTGATCTCGACTCACTGCAAGCTCTGCCTCCCAGGTTCATGTCATTCTCCTGCCTCAGCCTCCCGAGTAGCTGGAACCACGGCGCCACCACCTCGCCCGGCTAATTTTTTGTATTTTTAGTAAGACGGGGTTTCACCCGTGTAGCCAGGGATGGTCCTCGAATCTCCCTGACCTCGTGATCGCCCGTCTCGGCCTCCCAAAGTCCTGGGATTACAGGCGGACATGCGCCCGCTAATTTTTTTGTATTTTTAGTGAGATGGGGATTTTCACCGTGTTGCCAGAATGGGGCTCGATCTCCTGACTCGGATCCGCCCGCCTTCGGGCCCTCCCCACAGTGCTCCGGGATTCACAGCTAGCCACCACGCCCCGGCGGAAAACGAGCTTTTCTAGGTCTTTCCAAAATATCCTCTTCCTTGACTAAGATAACATTTTTTAAATATGGTTGTGACCCTTTTAAAAACGAGAATATTATTTGTTATTATCACCCAATTTTTCTAAAGGACATAGGCATATTGTACACAATAATTTCCACTGTTTTAACTTAAAATCTATCCTGGAAAGAAAGCAACATGCATATTTTTGAAATAAAATATTCTTCATGTCTATTTATAGCAAGTTATACTCCGTTCTGTGGAGGTCCGCTGACTTATTTCACCAGTTCCCTATTGATTGGGCATGGTGTTTGACTTCAGCTTTTTTGCCAAATTACCTTTAATAAGTTAATCCCCTGTTCTTAACCCCAGGAAACTCGTGGAGGATGGAACACACCCACGTATAACTCCTGACCTTTCCTTCACGCATTACCAGCAATCCAGGAATCTCGTCCTTCCCACATAGGCTCTGCTAGCAGATTCAGGCCGGCAGGAAACCCGGTGTAAGGAAGATGTCTGCCTGTTTCTCTCGTGCAAATCCAAAGCATGAACCTGATGCTTTGTTGCATCTGGAAGCACAGATGCCAGCAGACACGACGTGGAATCGTTCGCAATTGTTACCTGGCAAGCCGTTTTGCTCTCTCGTTTTGTTCAAATTTTTTGGCCAGCCCCAAGTCCAGCTGAGAGCTGTCCCTTAGCAACCCACGGAGTGCTGGCTCTTTGGGATCCCTGGAAATTACAAATGCAATTTTTCTGATCCGACCTCTCGCAAAGAAAGATAACAACAACATCTACAGAACATGAGAGGAGGGGAAACTCATGATGCCTCTGCCCTCTTTCACCCAACACGCACACACACATATCCGGAACTCCACAGCAGCAGAAGATAACTTTTGCAAGCACCAAGTTCCCGTTGTCCTTCCAGGCCGCTGGTGCCTGGGCTACAATCCTAGGAAGTGCAGGGAAAAATAAACTGATT